CCTGGCAAATAGATATCTGGCATTCTTCAAACAGCCCAAAAAAACCTGACGTTCTCTCCTTTGGAAACAGAGACACACATGGAAAGAAACATGCACAAGTTGCTGACCTGAGACACAAACATTATTCCAACTGGCTCGTTACGGTGTCACATTTCTGCAACTCTTTCAGCAATCTGGTTCAGACACAACATGAAACTGATACTCACAAAATAAGATATTGAGATGGTCAAAGCCATCAGCTGTGTTATCTTTGTGTGTGTGTGTGGGGGGCGGGAAGAAAGAAACACAAACTCAGTTTCCTGAATGTCAAACAATAAACACTTTCAGATGATTTATTCAGAGTGACCTCGTGTGAGTAGCTTTTTGTTCTGCCAATCTTCTCCCCTCAAGTTCTGAGGAACAAAATTTCCTCACAGTCTTAGCCTTCAGACAATTGTCTGCTCTGCCTGCCCCACCATTGGTGGTTGGGCCTTCAGCCTCTCTGCCCCCACCCTTTGGAATTCCATCCCACAGTCCTTTGCCTCGCCCCCTTCCTTACCTAGGAGGGTGCGTTAGGTCACCCTCCTACCCCTACCCTCCATGCACTTCAACCCTCCAACCCCCTGCTCGAGTTCAAATTCCTGGATGCCCAGCGCCTTGGGACGTCCTCCCAACATGAAAGACTCTATCTAAATGTAATTTGTTGTTGTGGTCTCAAAATTTAAGATAATGAGAAATGTCTTGCATTCAGTTTTGATTTGGAAGTCACTGGTCACACAGTTCTTTTCAAGATACCGGATTTCGCAATTGAGACAAAATATTCACAGAATCTTAAGACTCTTGCAACTGTAAGCCTGAGGATTGTCAGCCTCTGAAAGCCTTTTTTTCTCCTTGGACTGGAGTACGGTTCCACAAGCACTGTTTGGCCTCTGTTACATTGCTCCAAGTGGCCATCATTAATGTGTGAGCATTGAGAGCCAAGAAAACTGTTTGATTGGAAGAAGGATCAGAGCTGAGACCAATCTTGTTCTCACTCTGTTAGTGATTAGGGCAGGAACCCCGGCTGAATCTCTTCTCCTTTACCCAGAGGCAATGAGGCTAATTGTAGCCCCAACTGCTACACTGGCTGAGATCAGCTAACTTAGCACAGCCAGGGATTCTTACCTTCTGGTTGTGTATGACCTAGTGATGTACTGATGTCTTTAACATGCACCCAACAGGCACAGTTGGGACCTCAGTTTAACATCTCATCCAAAGGATGACCCCTCTGACAATGCAGTGCTCCCCCACCACTGCACTGGAGTGTCAGCCTGGACGACACAAGTTCAAAGTCAGGAGGCTTGAACCCAGAACCTTCTGATTCAGAGGTGAGTATGCTACCTATTGAATCAGCCTTAATTTAATTTTAACATGGCGAAAGATGCAATCTCTATGATTAAGGAATTTGGACTTCCATCAAGTCTTGAATAGGAACTGATCAGCACATCTCTTTCTATGATTATTGCGTTGTTATTGGTTACCAGGTGTCCTAGTTATTTTCATTGAAAATGAGTTTCAGAATCATCGCAATCCTCCCCTGCGATCAGCAACCAAGCATTCAACAATAACACTGAACAGTTGGGTTTTTATTACACCAGAGATGGTCACCTATATCACATTGTGACTGAATTATAGTGGTCACCTTTATGAAAATCTTCTTCTGTTATTCACGAAACAATATTCTACTTACAGGTGCACGTGAATTGGGAATAATATGATTTTGCCCACAAAATATGCAGACAATTCACTTTACAGTATATTCTGTGAAGCGCTTTGAGACGTTTTGAGAATGTGATAAGACGCTATATCAAATGCAAGGATTTTTATGCTTATTGTTATCAATTATTTTAAATGGAACTTTTAAAAATTGAGTTCCTTTCCGACGTGTGTTTAGCATTCTCTAAATGTGTATCACAATTCCTGATTTACACCAATCAACAAGGTGCCAGGTTTGATGCCCAGTTTGTGCTGAGTTAATTAATGTCAGACAGGAAGTTGGTAGGGAGACTAACATTGGCCTCAGTGTGCTCGAGGTTAGGAAAGCAAGGACTCCCACTCCTCATCTAGCAAATTTGAGGTGTGGGTGTGTGTGCATTGGCTAAGGACAGGAGTGAATCTAACTGCAACCCTCCACTCTGAGTTTAAATAGCGTTGAAAGGAAAATAGTGAAAGGAAAAATTAGCTGGAAAATTTTTGGAGAGGAAGAGGAAAAAGCTCAAGAGAGATGAAAAAAAAAGCCTTCCAGGATCATCACTTGGTATGCAAAGGTGATCCCTTTGGCCTGACTTGGCAGGTAGCATCCTGAACTGGCAAGGAAAAATCTATCCTGGTGGCAGCACAATTCATAAGCTTACAAAGAAATATTAGGATTTATGCACTGGGTTAGGTGTTCACCTATAAAATACACAGTCACTACACTTCACAGCAAAGTCCTGCAAAGCGCTTAGAGATGTCCACCTCTTGTGAAAGGTCCTGGATCAAAAGCAAATATTATTTACAAGATTATTACGCTCCAAAGCCATGACCACAAGATAGCACAAGCTAAAGTTTCTACTGGTCTTTTGTTTCCTCTCGCCTTCCCTCTAATATGCTTGCAAAGACATGGTCACTACATATGACCTGTAAAATGCTTTGAGATGTTTCAACATTTTAGGTGCTGTATCAGTGTTTTTCCCCCTCTCTTTAAAGCACTGATTCACCCATCGGGCTATTTGAGTGGGCTAATTGGCTAAAAAAGACAAATCTGGTTCTATCTGTATTGAACATCCTATTTCCACTGTTGATAATGAAGTACAGAAACCCTAACTCGTTTTCCCTCACTGAAACCAGTTGTCATATCCCTGTACTACCACAATCGTCCCTGAGATTAGCTAACCGAACACAATTGAACCTAGGATTTTCCTACCCTGTAAGTTTCAATTCCATGCCATTACCAGCTGATCCATAAAGGGGAAGATAGACTACTTTCTAACTACTATATAAATGCAAATGGTTGCTGTTGTACTGTTTATAGCCATAGCTGAGGATGTTCACTGTTAACAACAACAAAATTACATTTGCGTAGCACTCTTAACATTCATTGTTGTCTTTAACTATGACCTGTTGAAAATCAGTCGCTTTAAAATTGTTACCCTAGCAACCCAGTGCCATCAATGAATGAGATACGTAAAATATCCATTTGGAATAATCTTCTTATCCATGGCAACCACAGAGCCTATCTTTTTATTGAATAGTCATCTCACTCCTTCTGTGACAACACTAGCTGACACACCCTCCAAAGTACGTTGTTTTTCCTGATTTTAATTTGTATTAGGAATTTGATGTGTTATTCTCCGTGTGACAAATGCTTTCCGTGTTTTACTCCCGTCTCTACTTGTGCTCGAGGGTTATTCAATATGAATTTGAATCATCTCACTGTCTTCTTATGGTCTTGTGTCAAGTGACCTTCTGCCACTTGTACTGTCTAAGCCTCTCGACAAGTGAAGAGCAGGGTTACATGCCCCTCTTTCCTCAATCTTCTCTCCAGTGAAAACAATAATAATAATTCTTGCAGTTGATATAGTGCCTTATAATGTCAGTGAGATGTTTCAAAGCATTTCACAGAATATATTGTAAAGTAGATTGACTGTAGTTTATGGATGACACATGGCAGCCAATTGCACACAGAAGTGTCCCACAAACAGTCGTGGATTGAATGACTATTTTTTGAGGGATCAAGTTCAACGACTATCCTCTCCTCCAGAGCTCCAGCCTGGAGTCATACTTGTTAACCTTTTCTGAATCCAACCTTCCCCTTTTGAAGCTATGGTGACCTAAAGGTCGAAGTTACAATAACATATTTCTACCAAATTCTTGCGCAAAACAAAATTATAATTGACTGACAGTTCCCACCCTCTTCATTATCAGTGAGTCATGCTGGAAAGAAGATGTTGGATTATAGGCAGGAACAAACTGGGCTCTGTTGCACCAACAGTTGAATATTTTGCCCACCACACAAATAATAGAGGGGGAGTGGTGGAGATGGGAAAGGAAACAAAACAGTAGAAAGTTTCAAATTGCTATTGATAACCATTGACCTCACATTATTGGGCACAGTGCAGAAAGGAACCTAATTAATAATGAGGTATAGTGCTCCTGAGGCCAAATTTGCTCTGTCTTGAGTTCAGCAACAAACTGAAACAGACATTATTGGAGAAATACAGCCATTAATCCAATAATCTTCTTCAGTAACTGGCAGCAACAGGTGTTGTGGTGAGTTCAAATTATTTTTTTTTACACGTGCCCCCAGATTTGGTTACAAAATATGGTCAAACTTATTTACACAGTGATAGCTCTCTCATCTCTGAATCAGAAGGTTGTGGGTTCAAGCCCTAAGTTGAGACTTGGACTTGCAGTGTCTTAGCTGACACTCCAACACACTGCTGGGGGGGGGGGGTGGTGGTGTCCTTTAGATGAGACGCTAGAACTGAAAAGGCTGTTCAGGTGGACGTTAAAGATCTCGCAGGGCTACGAGAAAAGAGAAGGGAGTTTCTCTCTCTCTCTCTCTCCCGTTGTCCTGGCCGACAATCCCCCCCCACCCTCCCCCCCCCAAATAAAACTGGTCGTTCGCCCCACAGCTGTTCGCGGGGAGACGCTGCTGTGCCCAAACCCGGCTGCTGCTTTTGCCCACAAAACGCACACAGTCACTACACGTTTACAGGGTATCCCCGTGAAGCGCTTTGAGACGGCTCGATGACGTGATAAGGCGCCGGGGGTCAAATGCAAGGGTTATTATTATTATTATTATTATTGTTATCATCATTGTGTGTACCATTGTAATTGCCGGGACCACGTGGTGGGCGGAGTGTGGGGGGAAAGAGGAGGGAAAAAAAACGCGGGAAGATTCAAATGACTGGCGGTCACGTGAGCGGCGCCGCCGAAGGGGGGGGGCACGTGACTGGGGGGGGAGGTGGGGGTGTCGGGCTGCTGCGCATGCGCAAAGCGCGGGAAGATGGCGGACGGTGCGGAACTGAAGGTAATTCGCAGATGAATTTGGCTTTTGCCGGAGCGGGGCCTCGGCGGCGCCGGGCTGCGGGCTGAGCGGGCTCCCCCGGCAGAGGGGAGCGGCAGGCGGCTCCCGGGAGAGCCGGCGGCCCGGAGAGAGGCCCGGAAAGCACCTCCGAACTTTCCCTTTGACGCGGCGGCTGTTGACAAGTTATTGTTGTAGTTTTTTTTCTCTCTCTCTCTCTCCCTCTCTCTCTCCCTCTCTCTCTCTCTCCTCAACCTTCTCCTCAGCCTCAGCCGCCGCTTCCGTGTGGAGTGAAGTTCACTTGATAAACAAGACCCCCCCCCCCCCCGGGGAGAACCCCCCACAGGGAGAGGAAGGTGGGGGGTGGGTGGAGGAGGAGGTGGTGGGGGGGAAGAGATTGGGAGAGAAACAATTCTCGTGTTTTATTTATTTATATTTATGAGGGGTTTTATTTCCGTCGAGCGTGTGAGGAGGAGGAGGAAAAGGGGAGGGAGGGAGGGAGGGTTGTGTTTTTTTTTAAAGTGAGAATGTGTCTCCTCTTCCCCTCCTCCTCCTCCTTCTCCTCTTCCCCTCCTCCTCCTCCTTCTCCTCTTCCTCCCAACGGCGTCGGTGAAGTGGTCGGTGAAGTGGGTCTGACTGACCCTGGGCAGCGCCACTCTCTCTCTCTCTCTCTCTCTCTCCGCCCGCCCGCCCGCCGGGGCCACTCACTCACTCCCTCACTCGCTCAGCTCAGGATGATGGCCATTTGTCTGTGTCTGTGTGTGTGTGTGTGGTGCCTCTTGCTTTTATATCCTGCCATTGTTTCTTCGCTCATTCCCCTCTCTCTCTCTCTCTCTCTGTACTTCTCTCTTTAAGTTGCACACTCCCCCCACCCCCCTCCCCCCCTCCTTCTTAACGATTTCCTTCCTCTACTCCCTCTTCAATTTGTGGAATAAGAATCGAGGGAAACCCCCTCTTCCCCCCTCTCCCCAACCAACGCACATCCCCCTCCTCCCCTCGCATCTTGCGTAGTGACTGGAAAGATTGTTTATCTGTCGGTTCTTTTTTTTTAAGTTGCACGCTGGCTTCACTCTCTGGTGTGTTTAAAACCCTTCTTGACTGGCGGTACCGCTATGTTAAAAGCAGCCAAGGTTCAATACGTAGATGGATTTTGATTGTCGCCCCCCCCCCCCCCCCCCCCCCCCCCCCCCACACACACACACACCCACACACACACCCCCACACACACACACCCCCCACACACACACACACCCCCCACACACACACACCCCCCCCACACACACACACCCCCACACACACACACCCACACACCCCCACACACACACACACCCCCCACACACACACACCCCCCCCACACACACACCCCCCGCCCGCATCCTCATCTTCAAAACGTGTGTGGGTTTTTTTTTAAAAAAAATATATAAAGCGTTTTGGGTGAGGAAATGAACGCCCGCGAAGCTGTTGCTGTAGATCTATCTTAGAAACGGCGTGTGCACCTTTGCCTGTCGCCTGTTTGTTATATGTTCGCGGTTCACAGGCAGGGTTTGAATAAAAGTCAGCCGGAAATGTTTTAATGACAGATGAAAGCGTTTCAACGCTTTTCGAAAAATAATAATAAAACATTGCTGGACGTGAACGTTTGAAATGTGCCATGTGTAATGTGTATCTTTTTGTATATGTGTGTATATGTTTCAAATTGGTTTGTGATTTAATTCATGGTTGACTTAAGATTGGTTTTGGATATTCAGTACAGTTATAAGTTGCAGTTTTAGTACCAGCTGAGATATAGGTTCTACAGTATATGGTCACCGTTGAAAATATTTGCTGCTTGCCTTTAGGTAGATGATAGAATGGATATGATTCATGACAAATGAATCTTTTGAGTGAATGCCAGATTTATGAATGTAATGTAATTAATGGAGCTTTGGTGCTTTATTTAAAAATTTGCCCTGCTAATGTGAAAAAACCCTTATTGTTAAGCCTGTATTTTTACTGTAGGGATTGATTCTCAAAACGTTACATTCATATATCATTTAGGACCTTGTCAAGCTCTTGCCTTTCGGTTTCTGACCCAGTTTTACTGTGTGTCACACGTGTTATTATCTAGTCATGTAGTATTAGTCCTTTATGTGGGGATGGTGGTGGGGTCAGTGAAAATAAGATTGTAATATGTTAGGTGAGGAGAGGTACTGATGATGTGCACATGCTGCTTTCTTTTCTTTTGCAGGCTGGGGAGGGGGTGGCAGTGTAAGGGAAAAGCAGAATCAACAACCCACAGCAGGGATTGGGTGGTACAGTGATCTGACATGCAATCCTCTTGTACCTGTCTTCAAATCTACACTGGACTGACTGTCACTTTTTCCTCCTAGTTGTAAGCATCCTAAATGAAATGAGTTTCGGCAATTTCAAGAGTTGCAGGTTCTTGGCATAAAACAGCTGTAATTTGGCACTGACTTGTTAAAACAATTTCCATTCCCTAGTACTAACATATTGTATCTTGGTCAGCATAATTGTTCAAATGCAAAATTTTAAATGAAAAACATAAGTAGTCAGTAATGATGTTCATTAATCTTCCAATGTCAGTGCTCTATATCTGGGTTCTTTTTAAGTCAAAAGTGTGTTCTTCCTTGTAAGGAGTTTGATGTTTTTTGTAAATAAGAAAGTTTCAATACTTATGGACATTGCAGTGTTTAATTTCCTTTAATCATATTCCCCACAATGTATGAGAAATTCCTGATGAACAAAACGCTAAAGGATTTAAACTCTTTAAGAGACGCTCTTTCGAGCACTGTCCTTTAAGAAAATATTTGCTTTCTCAATAGAGGAATGGCCACTTCATGCACTCCTGCAGCTAAGACTGTGGGAATTCTGGAGGTTAGCAAAAAGTACATAAACCACATTATGGTTTATGTATGAGTCTTCATTACAACCAAATCCTTAATGTGTTTCTTTGTAGAAAATGCTTCCAAATTTGTATCTGAAAATTGTTCTGACATTTGTTCAGTACTGCAAATTTATTTTTTAATATTATTTTGGTAGTTAAAGCTGGAACTGGTGCAGAACGCAGCTCTCATTCCTTGAATTAATACTGCCTCATTTTTTATATTTAAAAAAAAAGCAGTCTCCATAATGTGGCTCTGGAGAAGTATGAGTGTCAGTTACAACGAGGGCTGTCCTTAGTGGTTGGTAAATGTTGGCAGTTGCGGCTACCTTGTATCATTGCTTGTAGTGGCAAACGTGAGCCAAATTATTCCCTAAAAATCTCTATTGTAAACAAAATGATTCGGATTCGCTTGAGTGGAGTTGTTGGCAGCTTGTCAAGTGGTTTGAAGGGGATATAGCTTGTGTTTCATTCTCTCTTTGCATTAGCCTGAAAAGAACTAAAATAAAATAAGAAATGAGAATAGAAACTTAAAAACTGCATGTACGTACTTCCAAGTGTGTGTTGTGGCTTTATTTCTGCCCCCCCCCCCCCCCCCCGACCCCATATAGTTTGAGGCTAGGAACCGGCTTCAAGGATGGGATAGAAGTGTGAGGCAGCTGGTGGCCTGTTTTTGCTGCCTTTGCCATGTTTTTTCTTTTCCTCTTGCTGAAACTGCCATTCACTATTGCTGAATCCCTGCCTTCTGGGCTGAAAAATTATTTTAAAAATTTCTGTAGTGTAAATTGGCCAGTTTCACCAATAGATGTTATTGGCTCTGCACATTCGGAACCACATTCTTAATGTGGTGTGGAGCACAGTGGATGTAACGGACTGTTTTTAGTCTTGAGTGGGTGGAACATTGGAGTGGATGTTCAAAGTACTCTGCTGACAATCTAGACTTTGTGGTGCTTACAGATGCTTGTTGTGGTGGGTCAGCACGTTGTACACATTCTTCTTTATTTTACGCCCCTTCCCCCCCCCCCCCCCGTGCTTGATATGAATGGCGATGGTGGGGGGGGGATAAAAGGGTGGTTTTGTGATTAAAAAGAAAACGAGCTGGATGGAGGACATTGGCATGTTTGAGCTGTTGCTTTAAACCCTGTTTATGGATGTGGCTTACTAGTGGCACCTTTTTGACAGGGCTCCTCGCACAAATACTTACATTAGGCAATTGATGGCCAGCGGGCTTGAGACTTAGACATTAGAACAGGATACCCAACATATAAAGAACCTTAGCAAAGTGTCTAAGCTACACTGAAGATGGATGCGTGTCAATGATAGGCCACTGAGTTTTGGGATGATGGTAGCCAGAAGCCATCACCTGAAAGGTGGGTTTGGAAGCTCCTACTTTTAAACTGTTTAATGGATTTAGGGAGTTTTTCTTTTTCTTCTCCATCCAAATCCAATGAATTGGCAACTCATCTCGGGTGGTTGTAGGACTTTGCTGATGCAAATTAAGTGCTGCCTTAACTTACCGTTCACTTCTAATTAATTTCATCTTGTAAAGTCCTTTGAATCTTATTTCTTGTGAAAGGTACTATGTAACTGTAAGTGGTGGCTACCCTAGTTGGTATACAGAGCGCCAAACAACTACAGCTAAAGATTCACACATCCAACTGGTGGAGTCGTCATTCAATGGGTTACATGTCTGCCCTTGCTTGCCCTGTCTTGGTGGATAGTAGCTTAAATACTTATCTAGTTGTGTTGCTCACTATACTGCTTGAAAGGAGTTCCTGGTTCCAGCTATCCGTGCATTCTCGTCAGCTGTCTGTCCATCTTGTGACGATCCTCTTTGTGGGAGGTGAGTGGGGTTCAGCTGTCTCCATGGCAACATGCCTGGCTAAGGAAGAGTGGAGATGAGTCAATTCTCTGGTGGGCTCAGTGATCCAATATCCAAGCCAGACAGATTTGCATTACTCCAGGGCATTGATTGACCAGCATGTTTGTATCATCTGTGTGACTTGGCGTGATGGACATGTTACTGGAGAATAGGATTCTTACACTCATCTGCTGATAATCCTGCAACCAATCTTTAACGAGTAGGGTCGTCCCTGCTGGACAAACAGCTGGAAGTTTATAATAATCCTTGTATTTGATATAGCGCCTTTCACGTCAGGCAGATGCCTTAAAGTGTTTCACAGGATTTGCTGTAAGGTACAGTACTGTATTTTGTAGGCAAGTAGCCAATTTGCAAACAGCAATTTCCCACAAACAGCCATGATGTGAATGACCCACTTAATTGGGGGGGGGGGGGGGTGGGGGGGGAACAACTGCATAGCACAGCCTTTGTCCAGCTAGGGCAGGTTGTTGGCCAGGTCACTAGGAGAAATTTGGGGCTTGAACCCATAACCTTCTGACTCAGAGATGAGAGTGCTACCAACTGAACCAGGCTGAATTCAGTTGTGCCTATGGTAATCACTTTTGGGTTGTTAATTTCTTGGCTTGCCCAACCTGTCCCCTCCAAAATAAGGAGACAAACTGTAGACTCCAGAACTGGCAATGGAAATGGTTTCTGTGAATTTTTTCGTTTCTGTGAGTTTGCTGGAATTAAGACTTTAAGTAAAGGGTTTCTGCAGGTGCCAGGCTCCTGGGTGACCTCTCTCTCCTCTTCCCCCCAATAAACAGTTCTGAAATTATTTCTTCCACGTGCAGGTAAGGATACTTTAAACCCCACACATTGTGAATTTCTTTTGCTATAGCTACCAGGAGTCAGGAATGTTTAATTTATGTACATGTGCCACTGACCTCTGTTACAGTTCAGTAATTGGCTGGAACTCACAGATGAATTGTGGGGGTCAGTGACCTGAATACACCAATCACTTGTTTCTGAGATTGAACTCTGCTGGGAAAACTCAAGACATTCATTTTTACCAACGAATGGTACTAGATGACTTAAAAATGTGCAACTGCATAGCACAGGCCCTGTTCAGCTAGGGCAGCACTACCTGTCAAGGCTTTGACTTGCAGGCTTGAGTACATTGCTTGGTACTTCAGTTCTGCCTGGGATTACTATGGATATATCTGGCTTATGATCCCATTCTCATTTGAAATCTTCCAATGCAGTGAAACTTGCCCTATTTACAGTTTTATGACTGGTTAAGCTGTGTATGCACTGGTTTTCATTAATGACCACAGCCTGAGGAAAGGCAGCGAGAGGAAAACTGAATTGTTGGCTGGTGTCTCATTCTCATAAGTAGTAGCTGGTGCCAGCAGTGTTTTTATTTGCCTCTGGTGATGTTGGTGGTGCTGCACCTAACAAAAGGGATTGTTTGGTGGTTCTCAATTCCAGTGGTAGCAGTTCTACTTCTTTGCATTCCAGTATTGCTGCTGGTAGCAGCCTCATGATATAAAGGAAGCATAAACAATTACTAACTTTATTTTGTGTATTGAGTTTGCATGATCAGTTATTATACAACTCGTTTTAGACTCTTGGGTCATTATATTAAGGAAGCTGAGTATGGAGCTTAATTTCTAACTAATGTGGTCCGGACATTTGATACTATTCAATTCCTTACACGTATGAAGTGAATAAAAGTATAGTGGTTAATATGCTACATGTACAGGCAAATCTGTCCAAGCAACCACCCCCGTTAACCACCCAGGAACAGCCTGGGCAGCCCAGTTCGCACTACTAACAAAATTACATTTATATAGCACCTTTCACGTCGAAAGAACATCCCAAAGCCTTTGACAGTTAAGGGTTTGGACCCGTACATTGGGACGTTCGTCCCACACCAATGAATCCTTACGCGGAGGCCATCCTTGTATACAGGTCACTTTGGCCCTGGCCCCTGTGAGGTTGTTGAATGCAGGTTTGAACTGAATTTTGTTTCTTCTGTAAATGCAACTTGTGAAAATTGTATATTTGTGTTCCAAAAAATTGATTTGTGCAGAATGATGGTGAATCGGCAAGATGCACCTTAGATTCTTTAAAGGTTGGTCTAAACTTCTTGTTCCTGTTTTCCACCTATAAAATTCATTTTCTATTCACTGATCTGATGGCTGAGCCTCGCAAACTTCTTTTTGAATAATTATCTCCACCTTTCAACTCTCATTCTATAGCTGAGACATTGCCTAACACAATGCAATTATTAGTATTGCTTTTTTTCTCACATATTTCTCTGTGTCGGCACACTTAAATATTTGGCTTTTAACCCGTACAATTTTAATGAAACAAATGGCCACTAGAGCAGCCCAAGGGATCATTCTTGTAGGAAGTTCCAATAGCTGCTGTTTCCAAGCTCGGGAAATTGGCTTGAATGGAGCTTATTTTCTTAAGAGAATTTGACTGAATTGACTAACTTAGATTTTTTGGATTTTGCAAAAAAAAATGCTTCTTCATACATGTACATGTGTACCTACACACTTCATCTCTATTTTCCCGATTGCATTTCAACATTACTTCTCTTAATGCCATAATACTTCAGGTTTTGTTATCAGTCATTTGT